GGGGTGCTTCAGCCTAGGCCGCCTTTGTAATAGCTTGGTTTATTTTTCTTTGGCTTGAATTGATGTACTGAATTTTGAGAACTTTGTTTGTATATATATATATATATATATATATAGATCCTATATTTATATACTCGTTCTCTTCTGCCTGGTGTTTCCGGTGTGCTGTGTTGTGCGTGTAGTGACCAGCCGAGTCGTTACAAAACTGATTTGATCGAGAACTGGTTCTCAATCGGTTCTATTGATTTTTAAAATCGTTTGGCAATGAACTGATAGAACTGGTCCAAAATTAGTAAAAAATTGATTGAATTAGTTTAATTAATTTTTTATTTTTAAATTTTAATTTAAAATATCTTTAATAAAAATACATATTAAAAAATTATAAATTTGAATAACTTATTTTTAATACTTGTCATATAAATATAATTTAATGATTTATGTTAGTTTTATTTTTTAATATCTTTATTTTTTTTTACGATTTATATTATATTAATTTGATACTCTTTATTCTAAATGTAAACTTGTTATTATTATTAATAAATATTGTTATATTTTATTAAAATTTAGATATAAATATTATATTATATTTTTTTAAAACTTAAATATTATATCTCATTAAATGTTGAATATTTATAAATACTCTAAAATCATTTTCTTTATAGAAAAATAGCCACTAGTACTATTCAGATGCGCGTGGAAATTAGGTTGTTCGTCAAAACTTAAACTTTATATTAATAGTAAGTTTAATTAAGTTTATGTTACTTGATTATATTTAACAAACAATTAAATTTTACATTAATGATACTTATTACATAAATATTATTTTTTTAATCTATGGACATGATTCACGCAATATCCTAAAGTGTTGATAATCAAGAATTGATCTACACTCATAGAGTGTGACTTCCACCGGCTAAGAATTATTTTTTAACATAGATGGGAACATAAATATTAATTTAACACTTCTTATAAATGTTTTTGGAGACTTAAACTCTTTAATGAATTCATTTGATTAAACTTAAAAATAAGTGTTT